ATTTTACCATCATAATATTACAGGTGAAGTGTACCTTCAAACATTCACCCATTTTTACTAATGTGTACCTTAATGAAGAATAACAATGATGTTTACTTCCTGAAATATCTTAACCTGGCAGTACCACTTCTTAATGAACAGTTCTAGAAAGCACGGCATTTTTTGCATTACAATTTAACTGTGGTAACACTCAAAATAAACAATGCACRTACCTGCATTTCCTAGAAATCCATGACAAAGCAGGCTTCTCTCTGTAACTCTTGAACTATCATATTTTTGTGTTTTTACCATGCTCACATTTGTGATAACAGATCATCTTAGGTGGGCATGTAATAAAATGTCCTGACCTTCTACTTCATACTACACTGAAGGCCCACCGTGAGTTGTTATCTCTTTCTTGAGTGTTTACTATCTAATTAGTTTATATAATTTATTTAATATACAATTAGTCAGTATCATCACATGATATATCTGGACTGAAAGTTCAGAATAATTTTTCAGGTCAAATCATTGRGAACAGRATGGCTGAGAACAACTATACTTACCTGTATTAGAATTTCACCAGCATACTCTCACTAATGCTACTATTTAAAAATGTGTTGGTCAGTGCTTGATTTTTCCTTTCTGCACTTTCAAATATATGAAACACAATGATGCTACTCTGTCAAAAAACCCTCAAAACCCTAACAACAAAACCAAGCCCCAGAAAATTAAACACCTCAACAGGTACAACTGCTCCACGTGTCCTGCCAAACGAAACAGAAGCAGGAGTTCCGTCTGAAAATCCTGAATGCTTCTTCTCTTAACTTGTAGCTTAACCCCTGGCACAGTTTAGGGTACAGCCAGTTTAGGGGACAATCGCCTTCCCACCACCCTCCAGGGTCAGCCCAGGACACCTCAGGAGGCCAGACACCTGCAGACATCCCACACTTCAGTGAGCGTGGAATTATACTGATTTTGATGTTATAAAAGCACTCTGACAGGCTGGTATAAAGCCTTTAAAGGGCTTGGAATTGGGGAAAAAACCAAAACCACACAAAAAATAACCTAAGTGACAAATAACAAAGTCATGACCTGGTTGCGATAAAGCTGGAAGTGCCTGTTGCACCTGCCCGAGGCTGTGGCTGAGTGTGTGT